ACAGAACAATCTGACAACCCATTAGACCTTGAAACTTGTACTGTACTGCAATGTCAAATTCTCTCAGAATTAGATTTTTTTAGGGCACTACAAAGACCATCACAATTAACCGAACGAAAGTAGCAGGTGGGGGTGCAACACTTCCCATGCACATTACAGTGTCCACGCAAAACAAATAGTTCACAGAGCAAATTCTGCAGGAGGAAACCAATCCATCTTCTTGTAGCTGTGCTACAGCCAAATCTAATCTTTACAGAAATCAATTAAAAAATCAATCAACCCACTGTAAAATTAGAATAAATATCTAATAACAGCCCAACTGCAAAATGGATGAATGGAGCCTTGCGGGCACAAGAACTGTCTTACCGGAATCTATCAACAATCTCACATCTCCAGCCCCTGGGGACATCACTCATCTCAGGGAATTGGATAGTTGTATCACCCATGCACATTATTGACCACTCCTTCTTAAAACATTTGCTTTGTAAAGTTTGCAATTACTTGGTGGGATAAGGAAAAACAAGATCTTGATTTTTCTGTAAAAATTTCTGATATCGTTTACAGATTATATGTTCTAAATTCAATGGTCTGTCCTTTTAGAACATAATGAAATGCCTTAAGGATGACTGTATTAATAGTAATCTAATAATCATCTTCCATGTGTAGCATAGTAATGCTAATAATCCCGTCATTAAGATACCTGATGAGAAGCAAACAGGGGAAAAAAACAGGTCAACTAATAAAATGACAGGCACAATGATTACTTCAGCTGTTAGGCTTTTACAGTAATGATATGTCTAGTTCGTTCCCTGGAGAACAACTGCAAATTTGATCAGACTGCAAGCAAATTAGATTTATAAGGCTGCTGTGATTCCAAAACTGTTCCGGGAGAAGAGACAAGCTATGGAGTAGAGCAGAAGGCCAGGCTTCACCTTGTTTAAATTTTTCTCCCCGGATACTCATTCCAGTGAGTTAGGAAGCACTTCAAGGGCAAATTGCTATAATCTGAATGAAAATAAAGGGAGCTGACAAAAATCCCCAAAATGAAATGACCTAATTAAGGAGAGAGAAGAGTTAGTAAAGGATTTATAGCCTAAGGATATGTAAACAGAAAAAGAATCACTTATCTGTGCCACATACAGACACAGAAACAAAGACATTTTTCAAAACTCTGGCCTTGAATGTGTTACCATTTTCCTCCCTTCCTGATTATTAAAACACACTTCCAGAGATGTAAAAAAAAACCGAAACAACATGAGCTTATCTATTTTAAATAAGGGTGGAGGACTTTTTTTCCCTTTGCAATCTATTATCGTCTGAAGCAACACATGATATAATTGTATGTTTATGGCAGTTTTTAAAAAAGAGTGGTTTTTTCCCCACTTACAAGCTCACTCCCCACTGCTCAAAAAAAAAAAAACAACAGAGCAAAGACTAACAAAAGAAGAAACTAAAACTGAATACTTATATTCTTCAGTGACAAACATTTTCCTGCATTTTAAGAATTCAATTCAAAGTCAGCACTCAGTGGAGTGGTTGAGTCTCACAAAATAGGCTATAAATCTGTACCATCAGTATTTCAATGATCCAGGAATGGATATTAAATAAAAAGATCACCTACTGTACATATTGGTCAAACTGGTCATTGGTAGTTTAACCTTAAACGTGCCTCAAATTCCTATTTTCAAGAAAATAACTTAAGGCTGTCTGAGGAAAATGAAGAGGCTGTTGCTGCTTTTTCATCATCGTTACTCGAACATCAGGTAACAATGGTGTAAAACCTCAGGGAAATGACAAACAGGAGAGACGAGCTGAAACAGGTTTAAACCTGCTGCCCAGAGAAAACGAAGGCCAGAAAAAACGAGAGCTAAGAAGAGAAAGGAAAGTCTGTGTATTTACTGAAAGGCCTGGCAGACTGAAGGTCAGAAGGTGACTCACACGAAGGATCAGGCATGATCCTCCCCACCTCCTTCCATCTCTCCTTCATTTTGCTGCATTTCTATTATGCGTTTTTCCCCCCCTGGGTTCTGCCTTTGCCAATTTTACAGCTCATAAGAGAAGCAGATAGTTCAATTACCCCCAAGGAAAAGTAGGAGGAACTACAGCGACACTTAAAATGCAAGGCAACATCCACATTTCTGCCTTGCTGTAGCTTGAATAGGCCATTTATAGTCACGTTTAGAGTATAACACAGACCTGGCATTGCACAATAAAGGCAATATAATTTTAGCATCCCAAGAATAACAGTACTATGTTTCGCTGGCTCCAGTGGGAGGGGAAAATGATTTATTTTACACTAAAAGAAGAGGAAATGTTTCGAAGTAATAGTCTAACTTTCTGTCTCATTTTAATAGGCAGTTTCCGTAGATGCAGTACTTCTCAGTCCAGGATTGAAGAACAAATGGTCTCCCTTTTGCACATGAGCCAAAAAAAAAAAAAACATTCTCAAATCTCCCCTCCGTAAATATCGAGTAATAATTTCTCGAAAACCATCAAAAGACTAAACTTTTAGAGGTTTTTACAACAGTACAAGATAAAGTATTCTCAAAAGGTAGTTCTGACACATTCTGGTGCTGAGCTGATAAACAAAGAGCACGCAAACTCTGGACTCAAAGATGGTTATAAGCGACATCCATCCATTTTCTAACCACCTCCAAGTTCAGGGTCATGGGAGAGCTGGAGCCTATCCCAGCAAGCACAAGGACGGGACTGCACTCCATCACAGAGCACACAGACACAAACACACTCACACCAGGCCCCGTTTCCCCAGAAGCCACTTATTCTGTTTTTGGACTGTACGAGGAAACCAGATCACCCAGAGGAAATCCACACCAATGCAGGGAGAACATACAAACTCCACACAGATAGCACCCCAGGTCTGGAACAGAACCTGAGGCCCCACTGCTGTGAGGCAGCACTGGTAACCACTGTGTTACCCTGACGCCCAGGTAATAAGTAACACGCCCTAGCGAAGAAGCTAAAATATAACAGTTAAAATGCAGCAGATTCAAGTCCATTCTCAAATCTGTTAATTTTAAAGCTTTTTTGTGTACTGATTTATGGGATGAGATGCGCTCCTTTCAGACCACGCACATTGTTTCTCTTGCCAATATAAAAAAATGGACTCTCATTTTTTTGCAGCACAGTCCCTAAAGTACTGCATTTCCCCCAGACAGGTCAAGTTCATTCCCTCGTATCATGGAATGTTCCCACAATACAAAGGAGTTGTTTCCTGGGGCAATGCGATTGCCAAATCTGCTCTTTATACACACTGTCATCAACTGAACAGTCCGATTTTTTCTAAGGCCCAAAAAAATGCACATAAAGCAGAATACTTTATTTTTACTTTTTGAGTCAAGTAGCGCAATTAATACAGCGCTTCGATCAAGTCTGCACCCCCTGCAAAGTTATTACATTTTGACGTTGTCTGAGAATGAAATCCTGACCCTTTTAAACTTTGAAAATGACAGTTTGAACTATTTATTATGAGAAATATTAAGAAATCAACGCAATCAGCTCCAAACCGTTCATCTTAAAAATGATAACAGTATTACGTAAACAAGTCAGATTTTCAGATATTTAACTATACAACTTCTCATTTAGAATATTCTGGATTGTGTAAGTATTCGACATCAGTTCTACAAAGCAACTACAAAACCTTAAAGATCTGCTTGAAAGGTCATAACATTAGAGACATGGTCTGAGTGAGCGACCAAAGAAGTTTTACTTGAAAGTAATGGCATTTGTGTCTGCTATTTCAGTTAGATATTGGAAGGCACAGCCCATATAGTGATACAATAAACCAGCCGTGAAGACCGAGGAGCTTTCAAAACAAGTTGCGGATGAAGTGGTACAATAGATAACCACAGTTTAGGTTGCAAGATCAGTTCAAAGTTGCCGATCAGCTTTTAATAAGTGGAATGAGCATGCAGAACTGGAGCAGCAAGAATGGGCAAACATATTCACATCCGGAATTGTTGCCAAAGCGCTTGAACCAAGCACTGACTTTAAGGGACTGAATACCTGTGCAATCAGTACACTTTAATTTTTATGATTTTCTTATCGGTGGAGACATCCAGCTTCCTTCACATGGTAGTATAGTATTCAGTTGGACAGTTGTTACAGTTCTGAATATATAATACGTTGAAATAAGTTCACCTGAAAAAATCTGAATACATTATTTCTACTTCATCAAAATTACTGGTAGAGGGAACAAGCTTTCACAAAGCAAAATATGAACACAAAAGTATTCTGTATATTGTTTTAATGTGCTTAGAAAAAAAGGGAAACAAAACTGCTGTCATTTTGAGACATCATTACTTGGTAACTTAAGACACTTCCTCTGTTTATAAGACACTATAGAAAAAGGGAAACAAAACCTGCTGTAAACCTGACATGTTCTGTACTGTGAAATCTGGGTCTCCAAATGTCAACAGACTCCATTTGCTTTTGAAGACATTAGCATATAAAGGACGCAGAAGGGAAAAGGAAAATGCTGATTTGAACCTCTAACAATACAAAGATGTATGCTCTGTTCCCCTGCTGACTGTCGAGTTGACATTATTAAACCATACAAGAAAAGACACGCATGAAGATGCATCTTCTCATCTCTAGTTTTGTAGAGTACTCTGATAAAGTAAACACAAAGACAAAATATCACGATCTCTGTGATCTTTGAAGCACAGCAATGAGGGGTGACATTAGGTTACAGAAGGTATAGAAACTTTGCACCTGTTTAAATCAGCAGATTAAATGAATAACTGGAGGTAATTACACAACATGAAAATATTTTTTAAAAGATTTGGTGATTGGCAAAGTACTGATGTATGAGTCTGTCCTACCTGTGTTAATGCTTTGTTTATGCTTTAAAATGACTTCTTACCCAAGAATCGTAAGGCTTGTGTTAGCCCATTTGCGCAGCTTGCCTCTGTACAGTGATTTAGCAAAGTCTTGTGTCAGTCAACAAACACTTGCATTAGAAACAGAAACAATCTGTGTACCTTTGTTGACCACTTGATTCTCTTCAGTCACTTTGGAGATGTACATGTCTGGAGATACGCAGAAATCACTTGAACTCTAGAAAGATCAAAAACAGACAAAGCAGAGCATGTTTAAAATTCTTAAAGCCAAGTACGTTTCGCAAATTGGAGGAAGAACAAGCTAAATTAAGAAGTGCTGATCTCTAAAAACAACACAACAGCTAAAGCTTCAGATCTTTAGGTTAAATAACTTATGTAAAGCAGATGGTTATGAAGGAGAGAAATGGCAGGGAGAGGTCACCATTTGAAATTCAAATGCAGTGGGTGAATAATCAGTTTTGAGAGAGAGTAGGCGAAGGATTTACATTAATCAAGTAAAGAAAAAGAAAATGGCCAAATCCTGGTTGTCAGGAAAACCTCTCTCTTCTAAAGATGTGAAAGGAATCCATTCTCTCCTGTTATGACTGTAAAACAAAATGTACCTGATAAAAATACATCTGAATTATGAACGCTGTAAAAAAAATGTGTGCTGTCTAGTCCACCTGCGAGCTGGCAGTGGTTGTACTCTTGGAAAAGGCCCATGGGAAAAAAAATCGAATCAAAACCACAGCTTGCCATCGCTGGTACCTCCTATCCAACCAGAAGGCCTCTAATTTGCTAAGTGCTTACAGGACCTGGTGAAACATTTTATAATTTCTTGTTATAATAAAATAATGCAAATGGGCCTGCTTTATTTCCTGTCTGTTTCTCTTAGAATATGGGAGAAACAGCAGAAGGTGTCAGACAATGTTAACCCTAACTACAACTTCGGCCCTGTGAGATAATTAAACTGGAGGACAAAAACCTGAACCCAGCCAAAAGAGGTCAAAGAAAGAGGACTAACCACAGAACTAGAAACGTTTTCCATTTAGCATTTTTAAGTTTTTAAGTCAGTGTGTTGGGAACTAACAAAGGTTAACCTACTCTCAGTCAACATTTTCTTATTTTAACAACTGGATCTTAAGATCAAACTTGTCCCAGGTTGTTAGTTCTGTTTTAAAATAAAAAGAAATTCAAACACTGCTGGATTAGGAAGTGGGTCATGTAGCTCTTTAAAGAATTCAGCATAAGAAGATATGAAAATAAAGCACAGTAGCTGCAAAGAATATTTATGCATGTAAAGTACACAGCTGTGTAGAATATATTTTAAGGGAGGAGTGCAAGTGACAGTGTAAATGTACTCAGCTAATTTATTTCAACAGGTTTGACAACATTCAATTCCAAAATCATATCATAAATCTGCAACTCAATATAGAGATACCAGGCAACTGGTAAACTCTGCGATAATGTTCTCATTAGGAAAACAGAACATCCTAAGAGTCTGGAATTAGTTTGAATATAATCTAAAGATTATGATGATCTTTTCCTTCATGCAACTGCCAGCTTTCTCTGCAACAAAATTAAAAATATTCTAATCAGGCTTGTCCACGACTCTTAATGACCCACTCGCTTGTCATCGCGAGAGAAATCGCCACTCGGAATTTCAATGGATAAATTAAGGAACTAAGTCTCTTGTGATTCATTAGTGTCGTTGACGTCAATATATTACGAAGTGTATTCAGCAAAGACAGCCTTGGTAATATCGCATGTGAGATGGGCACTGTTATTAATTTCACAAGCTTACATTTCATAAAAACACAGATGGCATTTAATGGCAAATAACTAAACCTGTCTGGCACCCTCTTCACTCCACAATTCAGTGACCTCACGCAGAGGAGAGCACAGCTGACTGGCCGTATGCTTCACGAAATGAACTGAGCAGCCCAGAGTCTTTTATAAATCAAAGGGCAAGAGGACTATGACAACAGCCACTGGGATGCTGTGCTTCACTGAAATTAGATTTGATTATTATTTACCTGGCACATTCAATGAGCCGCCTGGACTGTGACCAAGGATTCATTTAATACTCTCCAGGACCATAAAATGCATTCTCACACACAAACAACCGGTTTCACCTTGGCCCGATTGTCTTCACTGCCGAGCAGAGCACCGAATGCGTCACCTCCGAGACACCAGTGCTGCCCAACTGATAACTGAACGTAGGCAGATACTCACGAAGCAGTAAATGAGGGAAAAATAATGTATATCCTCCTCCACACACCTCACATTCCCTCCTCCCACCCCCGAATTGGGCACGGCGAGCATTTTATTTTTATTATTCTTATGTGAAGTACATGTAGTAATGGGACGTTCACTCGTACAGCACAGGGAATCATCTACGTTTCACTTCCTAAAGAACACACGGACAGCATCAGCCATTCAGCCCCGATTTAGTGGAAGTAAAAGTCAACAGCAGCTGCACATAACTAAAAACATCAAAAGCCTTCAGCAGCGGTCAAGCAACGTCCTGAGTTCACATGGTGTGAGAGTGCTCTCTGGCAGTGAGGTGTTCCGATGGAGATACCCACCACAGAAACCGCGAGCTCCACGCCCAGGGATCCCCAGCTGATAATGAGCGACAGCACACCTAGCAAACAGACGCTGGGGAGACAGAGATGAAGAGAATCTGCATTCATGTTAAGAAATCAAAACTACAATCTTAGCATGTTGGTTTAGATGATACTGCCTCCATCATGCTTCAATGCAGGGAAGATGAGCTGTTTTCATCAGTTTTTTTGTGGGTTTAATTTTTACTTCATCTGACCAGAGGATGTTTTGTCACATGGTCTCGGGGTTGCACGCCTTTTCTCAATCTGCAGGTGTTCTGTTAACTTCCGCCTAGTCACTCCCTTGTGATTAGTGGTTCCAATTTGACATTATATTCCCATATAAATGTATTTTTATTTAAAGTCAGCAAAATAAACTGTAAAAAAGGCTGATAAATACTGTCTGAAGGCACTGTAAGCTGATACCAGGTCAAAATATGCTTTTAAACTAGACATCTTATAACAACAGGAATATGGGTTTGTGGCTTATTAACTTTGTTTTAACTTTTTGCACTGTGACAAAAAAATCCCATATAAATCTATTTTCATTTAAGTTTGCAACAAGGGTTTGAAAAAGTGTGATGACTACTTTCTGAAAGCACTGTAAGATGAAACCAAGTCAAAATATACTTTAAAACTAGACACCTTACAACATTGAGAATAAGGGTTTGCAGCTTATTAACCTAGTATTAACTATGTTTAAATTTAAAGATTTAAGAAGCCCAAAGCTCTTCAACTTCCATTGTGAGAAATGACCACTGTCCATTTGCAGCTCAGTGTTAACAGCTGTCTGGCCACGGTCAGCAGTAACTTCTCAGGCTTTATGACAAGACAGCAATGATTCAAGCCTGAGCCTGAACACTATTCATTTCAATTCCCCCCACCTGCCTTTGACATGATCTCTAGGCAACAAGGGGGCTGAGGTCATGCTGTCTCCCTTTCCTAAAGTAATCAGAATTTAGGATAATAAGATCAGGAACTCACCATAGCCAAATCTTCCATCTGTCTCTGTGTACTGCTAAGTTATCTGTCTTCCAAAGGATCAGTAGCAAGACTAAGTACATTAGTGTTAATGAGTCTGACAAAGGGGGCAATAACGTAGTTTGCTCTACACATGACCTACAATTAAGCCAACAGACCACCCTGTTACAAAGTATTTCACCAAGAAAAGAAACAACACTGATAAATGTTAAAGTCCAATGTTAAATTAGATTATTATAAACCAGAAACCTGATATTACATAAAAGACATGGGGCACAAGTGGCAGTTTAGGGTTCTCTAACACTTAAACTCTACTTATACAATTGGCCCATGCATAAAGTAAGCGTACAGATGAGCTGTGAGATGGACTAGACCAGCACAGGCTCCGACTGGCTTTTCAGTAGCAGGCAGAGAAATTACTTCTCAGATACTTGAAGTGCCCTGGCTATGCTGTCTGGGGACTAGGCTGTCGGGATACCTGTCAGGATAAGGTATATTTGCATCAGCTGCAAACCCATTCCGAATTCCTTTTTGCAGAAAGCATTTTCAGCAGAGTGTCCATGAAGCAGTTCCCCTGTATCTTACTGCTGTTGTGGGACTGTACAAACCCTCACAGCACATCAAATGGAGTAGTTATTTCTTTTCCACATTGCAGGCCAAAAGAAGAGCTTTCCCCCCAATCTAAAATCTCGTCTGCATTCACGACCCAACTTGTAATTAAACGTTCAGCTCACATTCCCACCCACGTGCAGGCTGAGCAGTGAAAACAGCAAGGGCAGGTTTTTCACATTCGCGTTTAAAATTAAGCTGCCGAAACAGAAGGGTGAGTCACTTAACCAGCGTGGACAATTATTTTATCCGTAAGATGAAACCAAGTTTAAACAGTATCTATAATTTCATTTCCTTCTCTGTCTGCATATACAGACAGGCCACATTTTCATCTTTTAACACTGTGTGTGTTGTTTCAAATACTGTGTGCCCAATCCATGATTATGCATTTCTCCAGAGCTTTTCAGTCCTATACATTAAACAAAAGATTCTCTATTTGTACTGGAGATTTGATTAGTGACTACCAAACATTTCTGCACCTCTCCCAGCTAATTCCTGCCTGATTTCTTTTGAACGTGCTATAGAACAGCATTACACAAATATATATACATGCATGTGCTATAAACAACTCTGCCTGAAATGGCATAAAAGTGACATTATGTAGCAATGAACGTCCTATAAATTTCATCCATTATTATAGTAAAACCAGCTACCAATTTCCATAAATGAAAGTCTTTGGCTCCAAACTCTAAGGTATCTAATAACTTATACTAACTGCACATTAGAATAACATGTATATGGGCGATTTACCAAAATAGTTAAAACTTTGATATTTATCATAATACTGATATTTATCTGCCAGAATGCAAATCGCAACACTCACCCAATAAGAGTACCCTTTGAGTTTCGAATAAGGCCAAACAGCACGAGCAGACAGATGAGCACATCGAAAAGAAGTAGTCCCAAATAACCGAGCCATCTGAGGAAAAAAGATACAATTTACAAGATTAACAACTTGTATTTACTGTTTTGGTTCACATTGCTTCAATTTATAACTGCTTCATCCTGTCAAGTTAAAAACAAAGTTGAACACTACACTAGCCTGTACTCAAAGTACGGAGACAAGACACGAACACAGCTTTGTGTTACAGATATTTTAGGGGTAGAAGACTTGGAAAGTACATGTTAAATGAGGCAATAGCAGTAAATTATGGATAAAGTGGTTAGAAAATGGATGAGATGGATAAACAGATTCAATTAGGTAAATAAAAAATATCAGATGCAAGAAGTAATCATAACTTTGTGATATCATTGATACGCACTAAGATCTGCAAATGACTACATTTTTTGTAGTCATTTTTTATATACAGGAGTGGCAGTGGTCTCGCAGAAGCGATAACTTTTCAGGTTTTTGACCAAAGCATGGTGCCTTTGTGTTCTGTTTGTCTACAGGCTGAGACTGCAAGCAGATGATATGTGGAGTGGAATACGAATACTTCAAGTTCAACTCAACTCACGACATCAAAGCTTTCTAATAACAAAGAGGCAGCAGCAGAGCACCTTTGCAGTACAAGATCCACAGATCATGGAGTTTGTGTGCTTATGTGCACTCACAGAAGTGAGATGATTGCCTGGGAAGTTCATTCACCTAGAAATTTGTACCAATTCAGAATCCTAGATTTCCGCTGGAAAAAGCATTTCATCCTTGACCAATCAAATAACTACCATACAGATATAAATCTTTATCTTATAAGGGGAAACACATCACCTCATTTCATTTGATATCAACACATTAACGTTGATGAGACTAACCTAAAAACAACTCATTAAATCTGTTGTGTATTTTAAATCTATATATGAAGTTATACAGAGCCTGACAAACCATAAACAAAACAGAGCCATTGTGACAGCAGAGGTAAATTAACTGCATGTTAATTTAATTAACCACGTATTAATTTAGTTGACTAAAGCTGTTGTTGCATATGTTCACTCTAGCATCTATAGTGTGGTTTAGAAAATGCAACTGCTACTGTAACAACAATTAAGAAAAACTTAACTCAATTTCCTTGTTTGTGAAAAGTAAAAGCTTAATGAATCTTTCACAAAAAATGCAAAAATCTTAAATACCTTGAATCATTTTTTAAATGAAAGCTCAACACACTGTAACCTTGAGCTAACAATAAAAAAATATACTAAAGATCTCCTTTCAGAACCAAATGTAGATGAGCCAGCAAATATATTTTTGACTTTCAACCTTGAAAACTCACAATACAGTAACACAACAATTCTATCAGTATCCAGCAGCCACACTATGTAGATATTTGATACTGGAAGCTGCAGTACTTGAGAAATCACACCACATTCAATTATACACATATTCATACTTTTCTCCTTTCTGCCGCAATTTAACATTGTTTTCCCCTGAGGGTCATCGCACGTGCAATACCAGGGTGTTGGTTCATTCGAAAATTAGTGTTTCCACTGAAAAAAAAATTCAGAATCCTGGGCTCAACATCATCTAAACTCGGTGTTTCAGTACAAAGAGAAAACAAAAAAACAAGCAGAAGAGCTCAAGAAACATACAGCCATGTTACCTCCTTGGTGAAGGAATGAACAATGAATGTGGAAACAAATTACCGATTACATACCACCAAATGAATCTAGCCATGGAAGACGAGCGGGAATCAGCATGAGGAAAATAAATATGGTTCGCAATATTTTTAACCATGCGAAGCAAGGAAACATGTCTAAGACCTAAGCAGTATGGTCAGGTTGGCACTACACAAAGCTTTCCAAATGTAGTCCTAAAGGACTTCTGTATAAGGTTTTATATAAGCGTATTAAGTGCAGCAAGGGCTGATAAAGGCCAACAAAGGGACAAACTGGCAAAACATTAAGAATCAAGGAATGTTATTCTGTCAGTGTGAGTGGCTCATATCTTACGATAGTATAGTATGACGTGAATGGAAGGCAACGCGACTTCTACCAGTTTTTACCTGTACCAGTCGTAGAGCTCCGTTCTCACGGAGAGCTCCTCCAGGGAGACGTCGCTGTTCCCCCAGAAGGGGATCTCCACCATCTGTCGCACCAGCTCGTCCAGCTGGCCCTGCAGCTTCTGCACAATGGACTGGTAGTCAGTGTGCTTGGCGTACTGCTTCTCCAGCTCCTGCAGGCCCTCCTCCACCGTCTGGTTCAGGGCGGTGGTGCTGTCCGACACCTGCGTGGGGCGACAGGTAAGAGGGCTTCAGCGAGACCTCAAACGCCTGGGCAGAAAGCGAAGGTTTATATAACCAGGGCATCCAGGCACACACATGCTGGCCCTCCTGTGTCACTCACACAAACCAACGAAGGTCTTGTCATGGCCGCTGCTGCTAAGACAGGTTTGTCATGGCTGGATAGCTTGGACAAAAGTAAGACATCAGGGACTGAAAAAATAAAAGAACATTTTTCCATGGGACACAGAGACAAAAGCTCAGTGTTACAATAAAAAGGGTAGAGAGGCTTTACTTTGCCATTAGTACTTCCAGCGGTAGGTTAAATATCATTTTAAAACTTTTTTTTTTAAATTGGCACTTACAGAAAAAAACCCATCAAGTAAAGAATAAAAACTCCTTTCACTGATAAATACCATCAGCTGAAATATTCAGAAGCTGCGCATTTCATAATAAGGCACTTTCTACCCTGAAAGTCTGACTCATTTCGGCAGTGCAACGCGGAACAATGAAATTATTGTTCAGCAGTTTTCGCTTCTGCTGGAATCAAGTAGATGCATTTTCAATCTGCCTGCTCCCGCTGAGACCCCTTTAAGGTGGCTGCATGTTGGTTTAGATATCCAGGAACTCGGTATCATATCAACATGATCAAGCGGCTCTCCCAAGCTGAATAGGTCAATCTCTGACTCCAAAGCCTTTTCTATCGTCGTTGCACAAGAACAATACAATAAGACCGACCCAAAATTAAGAGCCAGATCATTTTTAAGATCTTTTTTTTTAATTAAAGGAAGCTTCATGATGCTATCGTCAATAACACTACAGTATGCGGCCTGGAAAAAGGAAAAAATGAAACACTCATTTAATATTCATCCTTACGAAACGAAATAAACGCTTCAAGCTGAGCAGAGCTCAGCTAAAAACGGCACTCTATTTGTCACACCACATCAGCAGGTGGAACTGGGATTTAGCGCAGAGAGGGTGAAGGGGCATGCTTGGAGATTGGGCCTATTATCTGCGCTTTAACTAACCAATTCTGAGAAGCTCCAATTCTGTATTCCTTCAGAGAACCCATTTCGCAGCATGTGCATCCTTCAGTAAGGCAGAGATAAACAAACCCCGTCTGTTTGGGGCTCCTGTGGGGGGTGCCGAGCCCAGACGTGAATGTACTCACCAATCTCTCCACTCCCGCCACAGTTCGGTTAGCGTGCCGGAGAGAGTATGTGAGCCGGTGAATTCCATCGCTGGTCTCGCCGTTCCCATAGAAACCCACAGCAATGCCGGCACTGAAAGGAAACAAAGAGGCAGAAACTTTGAGGGGGGTGGGGTGGAGGACGGGGGGAGAAGGGGTCAGCGGGGGGGGAAACCTGACCCAGCCGTGTGAACCCAGCAGTCTGGTGTTCTCTCTGCCTGCTTCATAAAGGAAGCCAGGCCGTTCAGACAGAGAGGGCAGGAATTGAATTCCTCCAGAAAGTCAGGCCACAAAGCCCGGGCAACTCAAAGCACGGGGTTAGCAATGCTACTGCAGTTCAATGAATCCAACAGAAAGATCGACGGGACAGCAGGGGAACTGATGTCCCAGAACAGCCAGTCAGGCACTTCAGATCATGGGAAAGCCATCTCATCAATGCAGATGCTGTTTCATTGCATTAGAAACGCTGGTATTGAGCACAAAGCTCTAGTGGTTTCGTCTGCCAGTCTGTGTCCTGCTGCAACATCTGTGTGCTCAAAAGTTAATGACTCATTGAGGTAAACATGCTCAAAAATTAATATATTCAAATTACTGCTGGAAGAGTGGACATACATTGTAGTTTCCTGCTAAATTAAGCATGGCCTGCATATCAATGAAAACATATTGTAAGAAAGTGGCATGTTGGAATCATTCCCCTCAAAAGTGTGAAAAGACATCAAAGAACTGTGGGTTGGAGACATTCATTAAAAAGATGTTAAAAACTAATGAGAAACGAAGTCATCTCAATTCTGTCTATCCTATTATTTTGTTCCTCACATTACTTTCTCAACTCTTGTTTTTATTCGCTTTCAGCTTGGCCGTGTTCCATCTAAAAGGATATCAAACAATAGATTATTACTGTATATTATAGAGTCAGCAAAAATTATTTTAATTAGATTTTAATTTTTTTGTGAAAACAATTCTAATTATTCAAGTGCAGAAAAAAAACAGGAACATTTTATAAAAAGGATAAAAAATAGGGAAAAGTATTTTTTAAACACATGCAGATGTCTTAAAAGAACAAAAAGCAAAACAAAAAAGTATTTTTCCCCAAGAGACCCAGCAGATAGACACAGGCACAGCTTCCACAGGTAAATCGTACTGCTGTGAACTACAACCAGAAACACAGGAACCTGACGGAGCAAGTCCTCATCCCTAAGCTTTTTTTTAGCATATGCCAGGAAATCCCTTCCACGTGCCCGACGGTCAGCTAGAAACTTGCAAACACAGCGCAACATTAACAACGACGGAAAGACTGAAATCACTGCAATGACACGTCACTGACTCATCCTCACACTGAGTCTCCAGTGCCTATAATCGACAGATGTCACTGGGACTGACCATCATTTTATCCTGAAATTGGAATTTGTTGGGCTCAACGACACCCAAAGCTCCTTCTAATTCTACACATTTAGGACTGTAAGGATATATGACCAGGCGGCACAGAGATGCAGTAATTAGGATTTCTGCCGCGCAGAGCTGGGGATCTGGGTTGAATCCTGGACCTGGGATGCTGTGTGCATGGAGTTTGTATGTTATCCACTGTGTTCAAGTGGGTTTCCTCTAGATGCTCCAGTTTCCACCCACAGTCCAATTACATAGTAGCAGGTTAACGGTCTTCTGCGGAAAGTGGTCCTATGTGCATGTTCTTGTGTGCTCTGAAATCACCTGGCTTCCTTTGCTTGATGGGATAGACTATGGCTCCCCTGCACCCCTCAAGTGGAAGAAGTGGTTGGAAAATGGATAAATGGATGCATATAAAGCTAATGAATGCCAGACAAATCTGTGTATTTTTATAAGAGCACAACATTTTTCACAGTTCAGAAACAAAAAGTGTTAAATACTTTGGACAGTTTATTAAGTAAAAGTCCTTGAGTGGATAATAATTCACTTAAATGTTTAGTTAAAACTTGTGACTATTTAGATTTTGTATATATTTAAATGTGAACATATGTGATTTTGTTTTGCAAATGACTTACAGAATCAAACTTTCTAAAACAAACGAGAAATCAGAACTCCTTCTGCCAGCCCACTAAGTCAGCAGTCACGAGTGATCTGTACAGTTTATGGATAATTGAGTAATAAATACAGCCTCACAACCACCTGTTGTCCTGCTGTTCCTGTCCTTTGAACGCACCATTCAAAAGCAGCTCAGAAAAGAAACTCCTAGTTCAACTTGTCATGTAGCTCATCTGAGTCCTGACACCAGAGAGCACGTAACAGCAGATCTTGAGAACCAGGTGATCCTTCAATATTTGATGGCAAATTGAAAGGAGACAAGAGGGCTCTTGAGACTGAAAGCAAATGGTTCTCGTGGGTCTTTTTCTGTTTTATCACGAATTGACTTTTAATGAGCGAGCGAGAGTCAAAGTGCTTTGGTAGTGGTGAATCTTCATATAACTGTCTCCTTAGAGAATACTGTACCACTAATTTAACGTTAGATGGCCTCACAATGACACAGGGGGAAATAAATAAAACATGCAACTGGACTCATGCTTAAGCTCACAAAGTGGTTGCTATGCAGCAATCTTTGCCCCTCTACAAAAGCATGGAGGTTCACGGACCCCTAGAACTCTCAAAATCTTCAAAGATTTCTATCATATAACAACACTGACGATAAGTCCCCAGGCTTGAAGGCGATGAAAGCCGCCCATTTCTCAATTATATATTTAAACTTTGTAATAGTAAGAGGAGAGGTTTTTTCCCCCCGTGTTTATTAGTCAGTCTTTTGAACACTAAACACTGAAAGGACAGCAAACCACAAACAGAAAAGAACGCCACCACCTTCCCCCAGATCCCCTCCCCATCCAAAATGACAACCCACACTTAATGAGAAAATAAAATAATCCAAACCCTACGGCTGATATGAAAAGAGAGAGAAATCATATATTTTTTTTTAATGTATAAAAAAATAGAACAATGGTTTCACTCCCACGATCTGTAAGTTGGCTCCCTGGGGGAGCTTGTTGCACTACTCTACAGTACTTCCCAGCTGCTGCAGGAAGATTTAAGATCCTGAGCACCCGGGCAGCTTAGAAGATGCTGCAGCAGACCAGGACCAGCTGAGGTTAAGACTGATTCTCCATCAATCATTTCAAGCGAGACATGGGTCTTCAATGTCTGCACGGTAGGAACTTTGTCTTGTGCTTTTTGCACTTGGAATACAAGCTGTCTTCCTGACAAGCTGCGAAAAAACATTGCAACAGGTGAAAAATCCTTTCAAAAGCCTACATTGAATCTGAACACGCTGATTGGCACTTAGAACCAGGAGTGTGTGTGTGGGCTTCCCTAACTACTTGTCTGAAAAGCTAGAAAAGATCAGCCAATAGCTGCCAAAATAATAAAAAGAAGACAAACGTGTCCAAGGATATCAAATGATCAAAGTCAAACGCATTATCCATGCATAGCAAAAATAAAAAGATAAATCAGCGATTTGGAAGGGGAAAGATTACACACTTCTGCAAAAATGCTGATTACTGTAACCGTTGTAAGTTCTTGAGTAAAAAAGCAAGTATGCTATGAATTGGCAGAAGGCAAGCAAGGCTACTTGCTTTAAAGGTCAGGAGTAGAAATCTCCTTAATCTGTTAATCTGGCTGCAGGCAGACAGTAAAACACACTCATCTTAGTTTAACATTAATCCAAGCTCAGCCAGTAGAAAGAAGCTTTGGTTTCTCTGAATTCAGGGGTATTCGTTTTTAAAATGCCACATACATTTAATGCACATAGGTGGGATTCTTCTCCACACTGTCAAGTGAAAGATCAGGGGAGCGTGAATAGGGATGTTGATGAAAATCTACACTGAAGGATCACGTCAATTATGTTTTAACTAACGTTTTGTTTTCTTGCTCCTGTCAGGAGGAAACTGATTTACTGTAAATTCATTGTTTTTCAGGTCATTGTCATAGAGACTATCTAAACTTTACTTTTGCAACAGAACATAATGTAAAATGTTTATCAAATCCATACTATGTAAACTAGTAAACCCATAACACATTTCAATATTTTAGGTCATATTTTAAAATATTTATTTGATATTGAAATATTTTTGGTGGCAGCACATGAGAGATTCATCATCAAAAATACAGCACATTTTAAATAGTACTACTAAATAATTGATACTACAACAAACCCTACTAATGCTGTCGCAGATCAACTGACATGAGTAATACAAAGACTCTTGTCTACGAGTGGAAGACTAAAACCCAGAAGACAGACATTTTCAGAGCAATATGTAAAAGTTTTAAGCACCTCCAATGCTTGCATTTCTCATCCTTTCTTCTGCATTAAATCTGATCTGGTGTCCATGGCAACCTTTCTAGGCCAAAGTTGAGACAGCACGAAAAAGAAAATCTCAGAGACTTGGTGCCATAGAATATGGCCGAGTATATCACAAAATATACTCTTCTGTACAGTACAATATATACAATATAGTGTTCATAATATTTCCACATATGTAATCAATGTTTTACTGGGGGGAGAAACTATTACAATCAGCTCAAACTGGCTTAGTAAGCCTATTACAAACCATATGGCACAAAGACTATTTGTGGAATACAAGGGTTCACGCATTATCAAGTGTTTTAGACAGAGGTCAGGGACATGAGTGCAAAAGGAAACGGCACGGGCCTCCGATATTGACTTCAGTGACGCATCTCGTCTCCTTTCGGGAAAATGTGTTTTTGAAGGAATACAGATGAAACGCAGCGACGTGGGGGAAGTGGAGCTGTTCCTGAGGCATCAGCACTGCGCCACTTCGTCCAGACTTCGTCAGCCTGTGACTCTTGTCCAGGGGCTTCCAAGCTGTAACTCTTACAGATTTCCTACACTCATCTCATCTGTCATTGGTTCTTATGTGCACCCACCATCTAATACAAGCTAAAAAAATAAAACCTGGATTTTCTGATTTGATAATACTATAACATATACATATTAAAACAGTAATTTTCTATTACATGTAGCACAAAGTCTTATCGCTTATTGTTTTCCAAGTTTAGCATTTTTCTCCTATGAAGTCCAGAGCTGAATTTCCATATAAATTTAATGCGCAAGACGCA